GGCGGGAATACTCACCCTTGCACGAGAGCTGGGATCCTCATGCCCAGCTTTTGATTAACGTTTCGGGTCTGGTCTAATAGTACGACCAGCCACATCCGATGAGTCAGATGGTCCATCAGAGAACCACGCCCAGCGCTGATAGATGGATTGAAAGTTAGTGATAACGCCGCGCATCTCAGCCGAGATATGAGCCCTTACCCAGCGCGAATTAAGGCAATTCACTTTTCTTTGGGCACGCTGGGAGTTGTCTTTACGACTCGAACATGGTTCAACCCGCGTGAGTCAAGGAATACCTGCCTCACGAGACAACTGATGCAACGTTAAAGTGCACCGGTTGGGTTCCTCTTCTCAAACCTGATACGTACCGTATCAAGTTTTTACAGCCATGTTTCGCGCTCAATGTCTTGGACATTGCTAATGAACGGATTTCAAACGGCCAACATCGAGTTTTATCGCTCTTGCGGTTACCGCCGTACTACCGATGCTTTAAGGAAAAAGAGAGAGAAAAAAACTGTTCTTAGCCCGAAAGTTGCTGGCGCTGATAGTAAGACCATGAAGCCTTGAGGTATCGAATAATGTTATCTGATGGTGTTCGCTTGTTTCACCGGACAAGCAGTTAGTCAGCCGCGCTGGAAGACGCCACTGCTTTCCATCAGGGGAATTCTGTACGTAAGGATCCTCCAGCGTGGTGACAATAGAGGGTGTGGTGCAACGAGCTTCATAACTACTATGGCGCAAGCATTCGGCGTAATCACGCGACTGCGAGGGCGAAGCCGCAGGCGAATATGATGAGTAAGTAGACTAATCATCAGAGCCAACAAAACTATGTTTCAACTTGTTAGTCGACTTGTTTGGCCGATCCTTAACACTGATGGGCTTAGACGTAGCCGCCATGGGTGACCCGGGAGGGCGTAGTGACTTTCTTCGAGTCGTATCTACAATCCTACTCGCCAGATTAGATGAGCTTCTAATCGGGTTTATTAGTTGCACGTGGTCCGGTATCACTTGCACCTGTAACAACAGGTACTGCAGGTAAAGCATCGATTACACATGGTGCATTACCACGTACACCCTCATCAAGAGGTGATGTAGGTAACGAAGAATCAGCATACTTCGAATCGTCTGCCGCGTTTGCGCGAGCAGTTAGCTACTTGACTGCTTCCGCTGCGCGTCGCACGGGCTTGTTAAGCATGCGGTGCAAGGTCAGAAATAAATGGATCTGACATATTAAGTGCTCCTTTTCCCATAGTGTCCTACAGGGGGATACAGTAACCGAGATAGTCACTCGTGTGACTATCGTTTTAAAGGGGGGGTGATGTAACGGGCTGAGTTTGTTACTTAATATTATCATTTGCGACAATATGCTATTAGAGAATATTACGTCTAATATTATCACTACAATATCACTAAGGTCAGTGCTATTGATGCAGTGACTTAAGGGTCTTCTCATTGGTTGATATGGGGTATTATATCAACCCGCCAATCGCTACTAGACGCGCGCAATGGGTGGCGAGTAGACGTCACCATATATGCTATAGTAGTAATATAGTTATGATAGGACTAATAAGACAAGACACATTTTTAGAACTTGATTATACTGATACAGTTTTCTTTTCTCTAACCAAGCCTAGTCATGTAGTACTACGTATTCCTAGAAATCCCTCTGTGTACGCAACATAACTAAGCACTAGTTCTCAATGCAGTCAGAGAGCGCTTTGCTATGCACTGTTGTCAGTGCGGAGCTACCTTTGCCCGTAATACTGGTCTCGATAGGGCTATAGATCTCACCTGTTGAGTGGATGTGGTAATGATTCTGGGTAGGTTGAAGTCTTGGCAAATCGCTCGGTTGCGACGCATAAGGATACTCCAAAATATTGACACCTTTAAGCACGAAAGTTTAGGCCGGATCCGCACTCTCCGAGCTGAGTACTAACCTCGTAAAGTCTACTTGAACCGAAATCAATTCATTTTCCATATTTCATTGTCATTTTTACCCTAAAGCTAGATACTAAACCTTGACCTCTATCTACACTGAGGAGTACTAGCGATCTATTCGCTACCTCTCACACACCAGCTCTTCTCCAACCGCATTTGAGATCCCTATCATACTGTCGCCCCATTCTGTTGACATATATCGATCCCCACATTCCGTCCGCCTTCCTTTATCATATGTCGCCTCTCAGAATTTCCGTCTAACTCCCTGCTCATGCCAATTGTGACCTTCCAACTCTTCTTTGTGTGACTGCATTACCTCAAAACGTTTGCGGCAGAACATCCCTGGTCCAATTCTTGCATGAGCTCACGACACTTCACGTCGACTGCATCGGTCCGTGAAGGACCGATACAGCCTTTCTAAAATATTAAAAGTTGACGATGTACCCGTCCATAGCGCTTCTTCCGGTATTTGTTGGTTGTATTAGTTAGCGTAATATCAGATTGATTACAGCTAGAAGTCTTCAGCTACACATATAAATACTGCTCTACTTTACCCTTTCACAAAACACGTATTCTTGGCAGACAAAACTTTCTCTGCCCTTACGTTGACATTCTCTTTCCTAGCAATCATTATACTGTGGTCGTGTAGGTAGCTTACTTGTCTGTACAACCGTTTTATGCCCCGTTGTAGTGTCCGTCCTGTACTGGGCCTGTTTTCGAACGACATGACACCTAGCTCACTATGTATTGTTTGTCAGGAATGCGTCGACCTGTCGCTATTACATATACGCTCTGACTGTCAATATTGACCGCGCCTCGACTTGACATGATGCCGCATACACACATTTAGTTGTAGACAAGGCTATTGTGAGCTTTCGCTTTGACGACCATGAAATTTAGCGACCGGCAAGCATAACGATAAATTATACAGTGGTGTTTCGATCAGCGTTGTCTGACACCCAGTCGCTTTAGTAGTCACTGTGACGAAGCATCGACTATTCGACCATATTTGCTTTAGCGTGGGTAATACCACAATAATTGTATTAGCTGGATATCTCAATACAAGATTGGATGCAACCAACATGTGCTTTGTTGTCTCAGCCACAATTGACATACTTCACCAATCGCATGTGCCAGATCAGGACGTGTGCGTGTAGCAGCTGACTACACCAGACACCAGATACATAATCCTTTCCACAACACCGACGTATTCAAATGAGTGAGCCATATCTTTCTTGTTGTCTAAACGCGCAAAAGACGCTTTATGTCGAGTCTCCAGGAGGTGTCCAACAGATGTGTTTCGTTGAATACAGATATCTAAAGAATCTAATGAAAGTACTTTCGCTGACCCATATCGATTAAAATACAGCTATGGTGCATATAAACGCCGAGAAATGCCTTATTCTTACCTTCATCTTTCACACTGTGCGTCGTTTGAGGCTTTGCAAATAATTCAATATTCATTGACGGATCGTTCGTTGCGCAAATGATGCCGTTAATATTTACCAGTGCGAGCGTGATCGGCCCTTCGATGCGCTTTTGGTATGGAAAATTACCCCTATATTTGCTCGATTTTCAAGCCGCTCGCGCAGTGTTGCAAACAATGCGTTGCCACTGTTCTATGTCCTATAGACATTGGCTATCTCCGGCGAAAGTGACATCATAATATCTCTTCGTAGGCGTCTCCCGAGCCCCACAATCTTGGCTTACCCTAATCGACATACAAGATGTTATCGGGTCAATGCGGTTGCTCGCAACATCCCAGAGGTCTTCGTCGACATCATTGAGCGCCATCATCGTTATGTTCTTATAAGTTTGCAGAAATGTTCAATCGAAGCTACTTGGCATACCTAACTTCGAGCACAACTGATGCGCCATTCTAAGATACCTTATCTGAGCTGATTGCCCTATTGTTTTGAGCACACTTGACTCAAACGGTACTTATCTACTACACATACCCCCAAGGACCAGATTTAGCATGCACGAATCGGGACCATATGGGTCGAGAACATTCTTTCCTTTCCCGTCGCCAACGTCAACGTAGTACCTGTCGGAACGTGGCTCGGACATAGCAAAGAAGATTGCAGCGTGAACATATAATCCACGATTAGCCCGATACTTTCCTAACTAACCTCAGCATATACACACACCTTAATTATGCGCCTCCAGAGCCACATGTAGCGACGCCGTGCTGGCGCCTCTTCCGAAGCGTCGCCTCACATTAGACTTGTACCCTATTCGGGATCCAACAGTTCCACCGTGACCAACTGCCAGTCTCATAACTTCAATCAGGCTGTGACATCTGTAGATAATTGTACCAGGATGCTTATTCCGACGCACAGTGGGTCGGGAACACAGCTCAAGCATGCCCTGTGACCATGAGCAACGTCGTATGGATCTCTCGACTTCCAGAATCTCATCCGTTGTCATAGTGCCATATCCCCAACAATCCCTCCTCATTCATGATACATCGGTCCGTCTACGATCAATCAAGTCTGGCGAAAGAAAACAACCCATTGTACGTTCTGTCAAGCCGACAGAGGAAGTGTGTCGTAGTATGGACTGTGAGGAAGACTGTTATACAGTATAACCACAAGCTGCGGTACCGCTTCTCACTCTGCGTAGAAAAGCAATTGGAAATACGCGAACACAAGCGTGGAGCCCAATCATTTCATATAGCGTCAGGGCTATTTTGTGTAAATCTGTGTAGCTGTTGTGGCTGGTTTTGTAAACGCCACCAACAATTGACCTCCTCGCTGCTCGCAATTTTATGAAACTACAAAAGTAGTCACATGTACAGCCCAACTGCCACGTCAACTCTGGCAGCAGCTTTGAGAGGGAAAGTAACAAGTGTCGACCACTTTTTTTTGCCAAGCCAGCGTCCACAATAACTGAGGCAAACGGAGACCACATTCGACTACTTCAGAGCAGCACAAGACCGGCAGCCGAGTCAGGGCCGCACGTCATTCCTCCCCGCAGTGTTCACTGCACGTGTCTCGATCTCGCCCCGCCGCACGCGCCCCCACGTAACCCCACACGCGCCCACCGCGCCAGCGCAAACGACCATGGACAAGGGCGTGCTGACCCGCGCGACGAGCAAAGATGACGCGCCGACGCCGGGCTACCTGTACGGCGAGATTGCGCGCATGACGCAGCACAGCTACGACACGTGCTCCAAGGTGCAGGACTTTCTGATTGCGCGCGTGAAGAAGAAGCACCACACGATCAAGTACAAGGCGCTGCAGGTCATTAAGCACATTTGCCGCGAGGGCCGCGTGGACTTTAAGCGCGAGATGCAAAAGCACATTCCCACGATCAAAGAGTGTTTGCGTACGTGGACCTATTTCGAGTGCATAGTGGCCGGTGTGCTTTGTTGTGTCTTGTTGGTGTGGCCAACACACCGACACCGAAAGTCGACTACGTGTCTATTTTGGGTCTATTTTGGGTCGTTTCGTGCGCTGACTTGATAAACGTGCGTGTGGGTGTTATTTTGGGATGCTATGGGCGCTATATAGAATGTCGAGGTGTGCCGGACCCATTGAAAGGGGACGAGTACTATCGACGCGTGCGGGAGTCGGCGAAAGAGTGTCTCGATGCGATCTACGACACGGACAACACGCCGGGACTAAGTGGCATGGGCATGTCGGCCCGTATCCAGGGCGTAGGAGCGAATCCGAACGACAACACGGGCGGGAGTTCAGGCTGGAGCTCCAAGATTTGGGGCGGCAAACACTCGAATGACAGCTCGTTGCCACCGCCGCCGATGGCTGGACCGCCCATCGGTGGATACAACGTTGCAGCGCCACCTTCTGGCGCTCCGTATGGGTACCCGAGCGACCCCAACCAAGGCAGCTACGGAGGTCCAGCGCCCTATGGCCAACAACAGCCATATCAGCCTGAGTATCCCCAGCAAGGATCATATGGAGGTCCTGGAGGTGCGGCCAATCCTGCGTATGGAGGGGCAATGCCGCCGGGTCAGTATGGAGGGGCTCCACCGCCACCTTTTCATGACCAGAAGTTTTCGGGCATTGGCAATCCAATGTACCAGGACCCACGAGGTGCAGAGTTGTTGATTGGATTGCTGGACGGTTGAGTGTACTTGTTTTTGCTGACGGCTGTTGATTGGGCCATTGTAGCTGATGAGAAGGGGTTCTTTAAGGGCTTGAAGGAAAAGGTGGCGTCCAAGTACTCCAAGCCGGAAAAGCCGACATTTGGTGGAGGCCCGCCAGGGTCAGCGAATCCTCCTGACGGATGGAGCTTTGCCACAAACCGTGGTCCGACGAGTGGGAACTACGGCCCGTCGCCTCCTTCGTACAACCCAGAAGAGCCATACCGTCCTACGGGCTACACTGGAGGAGGGTACCGTCCTGGGTCTCATGGCCAGGATCCGCGCGAATCTGCTAGCACCCAGTTGCGTGAAAAGTCTTACGGTGCGTTTGTGCAGTGGGTTTGTTGGTGGTGGAATAATGCAAATGAGAGCTGACAATCCTTACACGGCCGTTTGGAACAGATGGCGATCGCAAGAAGGGTCGTGTTGGCGGTGCATGGACTGGAACTGACGCTCCCTCGTCTCATAACGGCCCAACTGGAATGACGCAGAATAGCGGCCATGACAGTCGATCACAAAGTTTTGGGGGCAACGCATGCGACACGCGCTCATACTCTCGGAACTCAGACTACGAGTATGATGAGACGAAGCGTCGCGAGCCTGCGCAGGGGTCGAGGTCATTTCCGCAATCTGCAATACTTCCTGGTCAGACATCTGGCGCTCAGTCAGATGGCTCTTATGAGCGAAATCTGGTCACTGCGCTGTGTGCTCCCGGTGGCATGCGTGCGATCCCTCCGAAGGACAAAATGGATGCATTTCTAAAGAGTGCCATTACACTGGACGCTGAAATCGTTGGACCGATCTTGGAAGATTGTCTGTCAGACGATCAGTGGACGGTATGGTGTTCCTTCATCGTGTCATATTTTCGTAGAATGTATCTGACATTGATACGGCCATGTTTTGGGGTTGGAAACAGGTTGTGTCGAAAGCGCTCGCGACAATCGACGCTTTGCTGAAGACAGATGGCTGCGAGGAATTCGAGGAGTACTTTGCTGAGAGCTCGGGCGAGATCGAGGCTTGTGCGAAGTCAGAGAAGGCTGCTGTACGGGACCGTGCCGCGAAGATCCTGCATCACCTTGGTGTTTCTGCTGCTGGACCAGAGGCGTCGGCTTCTAGTCGCGAGTTGCCAAACTCGAAGAAAAAGGCACACAGTGGCAGAGAGCAGTCCGCTAGAACAGCAGAGGTCGATCTGTTGGGCAGTTTCGATGACGCTCCTTCCGCAGGCAGCAGCGGATCGCTCTTTTCCGGTCTGCATACGAATGCCTCTTCCCAGCAGCCAGCACAAGAATCTTTGCAGCCTACCCCGTCGGCGCACGATGTGTCGGATATGTTCGGTGGGTTACAGCTTCAGAGTGGTACGGTAAGCGCGGCAGCTGCAACTGAACCACCTCAAGCACCGATTGCAGTTTCGGCTCCTGTTCCTGCAGCTCCGGCTCCTCCATCATCGTCGAACCAAACAATGGTGCTGGACCCGCTACTTGAGCCTGTGCCAATAGCGCCGACGATGAACCAGGGTTATGGCGCCCCGATGAACATGGCCATGATGAACTTCAATACGCCGCAGCAGATGGCGCAGATGCAGCAGATGCAACAAATGCAGTACATGCAACAAATGCAGCAGATGCAATACATGCAGATGCAGCAAATGCAAGGCATGGGAGGCAATCCTGGATCTCAAGTGATTGGAGCTGCGATGACCCCTACAGGTTACATTGCCAAGACGATCCAGGAGCCGGCTGATAGCCTCACCTCCGACTCGGGGTTTGGCTTCATGAAAAAGAAGGATGATTCGTTTAACTTTGTGAAGGACGCGATGAAGAATGGGTAAGCGGCGGTCCTGTATAATACACCCCGGACCACCAGTGACGGTGGTAGAAGGGAAGGGCAAGGGGGAGTAACATCGTCGAGACCAACAGGGAAAAACGACGCCGCCCAGTCTCTCGAGCTTGCAAGCACAACAGTGCTAGATTGCCAACGTAAACTCCTGGGGGTGAAAGAAACACGAGTGTTTGCGCCGGATTGGCTGTCCCTTGTCGATACTTGTTACGTCCTAGCAGCGCTTCCCGACTTGGCTAGACAGTCGTGGATCATCCGTGTGATCATTTCTCCCATTGCTGGGTTGTCCAGCTGGAGCTGGTGTTGCGGCGACGCTGTATACTTTTGCTCTTGATGTTGACGCAGACCATCAACGACGCTGTTGATTGCCCGGAGCAGCCAGAATGTTACAGCCGTGTTCTTGTTCTCACAGCAATGACGTAGCGCTTGGAAGATCAGGTCCATCATCTAGCACATTGTCACGAAGTAGTCAGCGCAAGAAGTTGCGAAACAAATGATACTGACACGAAGGCGTCGTACCTGGTCAAACACCTGAGATGGCTCTCCGTGTTTCTCAAAGCAAATATGCTCAAGCACTGTAAAGAAACGTCGATTCAGTATGCATAGAAACGTGTACCACCCATGACAACAAAACACTTTCTACAAGTTGCAATTTCTAGCTATCGTCGCCACCTTGGACAATCGACACGGCGTCCTGCTCGTGTCTCTCGAGTAACTCGACTAGCAACGTCACGAATGCCCCTACTAGTCCATTAGTGGCTACATACTCGCGGAGCTCCATCACGCCTTTCGACCACTCCTCGAGTCGCTGCTCCACCAGCAACTGCCTCAAGTTCGACATGTGCGTCGACACGACGTCGGAAAACTTTGAGCTCAACTCATTCTCGTCCTCCCGACAAAGTGCAGCAGTGGGCGTAGGACAGAAAGAAGACGTGGAGGATGCAGAAGGCCACGACGACGTGTCGTGGACGTGATAAGGAAATGGGCGGCCGCTGTGCTTCATAAAGTACGTGGCCAAGGCAAAGCGCAGGATGCTGCTCGTCATCTCCATGTCGTATAAAAAACAAGAGTGAAGGTCACTTCAACTCCACGAGTGTGGCTAATTTTGCAAATGAACATAGTTGGTAGGCTGCAACGTATACATGTGTACACCTCACAAGTATACACCTGTGATGACGCTGGCGTGCAGATTGCGTAAACGCTGCAAGATCAATTCACGGGTCCAAGATATCATGGTGGTCGCCATCGCGTAGAGTGCAAGAGGGTTTGCGAGCGTCGACACTTTCGTGATGGAGTTTAGTCAGTACACTCACATTCGTCCCAGCTGTAGATCAAAATATGCTGCCACAGATATCGCATTCTCATGTATGTCGCAGATAGGAAAGAGGAACGCCGGGATGGTTTCGTGGCTTTACATTCTACAAAGGCTAGTGGTGATGACGGGGCGCTTACTGTAAGAACCTGCTTTGCCCGTGTAGGTTATGTTGCAGGGCGGTGTTGTTCGATAGGTAATGTCAAGGTGTCGTTGCCAGTGTAACGGTTTGATGCCAGCAAATGAAATGAGTGATATACCAGGTCGTATTCCATCGTGCGCTTCGCTTTGCTGTCTCGTCCATCACAACATATTGGTCCAGTGTTGTCATTCACTTCGTAAAATGCCCAGTAAACAACAAGTCATTGGACAACGAACTTTGCCGTGTGACGTAAACAAAATCTCCCCGACCTAACATTGCAGTATCTTGTAAACAATCTGTGGGCCTCAGCGCGATAGTTTTATGCTCATGATAATCGAGATGTATCAGTGTCATATGGAGCGTACCTTCTACTGATCGCAGTAGTATGATGATACCCGCGCGTGGTCAAAATGATTACGGGTCAACGAGGTTAGACGTCCAGTTCGAAATGAAAGTGCAAGCCGGCACGCTTGCCTTTCATTTCTTCCCAAACCAATCGCTGCGTCTACCGTGACGTACAAGACACAAATCAAATCTTCGCAAAACGGCGCAACTGGACGTTATCATCTCATAGATGCCCTCTTAGCAATGCAAAGACGCTCAGACATCGGCTACGTGCCATCTACCGAGCTAGGAATATACGGGAACAATGGGAAGCTGTGCCGAAAGAGACGCAGTGACGGTGCTGCTAGAGCGCAAGTGCTGGTCACTTTGAAGTGCATCCAAGTCGTTCGAGAAAGTTCTGACCGGTGAGCTTAAGTTTACCGAAGCTTGCTTTTAGGTCGCAGGCGGAGATGCACAAGTTGTGGCTACGCGTCGTGTTTCCGGATACAATATGACTTCTTCGTCAGTGGCCGGTGTATCTTGGACGATATTATTGTCTGCGCAGATTACAACAGATCACGCCTAGTACATATTGCGACACTGCTCGGAACGGTGCAGCTGACTTCGATGTCGTATGTAAAAGCATCGTTTTCGTACTTGTTTGGCCGTCTCCCTAACAACCGCTCATATCTACTAGAACCTCCTTGTTCCATATCGATATCGGCAAAAACGGTTGCATATCTACACGAGCGCAGCTCATTTACTCGTTTCGAACTCTGACGGGTACCAGGGATATCGAGTGGCCTCGTAATACACACCATGAAGCTGTGTTTGCCCTACTTTCTCGCCGACACGTCAGTTGTGAGCCAGAGAACCATGCTATTGATCAGGTTCATGCAACACTGTCTTTTGCAACAATCGTGACTATGCACAACGTAGTTGAGCCCCGGTTCTGTGAGTATAAACCGAGATGCTGGTAAGCGTCATCGACCAAATCGATGGCGTAATGAATCGTCCGAGCTGATCTTTGAGGTCTAGACGTGATGGTGTCTTGACGTATCACATCAAGAAGTTCGTCACTTCATCGATAAGCGCACAACAATCGTTGTTAGTTCTACCGTTCTTGACTTATCTGTGACGTTGGTGTTGCTAGTATATCTTATGATGACGCTATCGTAGGCGAGACACCTGAGACGAGCTATTAGGACATGAGTGGCACAACGTACAATCATCTCGTAGCTCGACAAACGACAACGCACACACTCACGAACGCTGGTAAATAAAAAGTCTATAGTAAATGATTACGCTACTTACACGATGTGTGCTGCCCGAGTTAATGCGGCGGAAGTCGTGGGAGAGTGTTGACCCTTAGGCACGATCAACACGTCAGACGGACGCTCGCAATGCCGCAGGGCCAGTCCACTAATCTCAAACTGATCAAGAAGCTCCGAGCTGTTCAAATACTTGTCGCCAACGTTCAGCAGGTCACACTTGAGCAGCTTATGCGAAAACGCTTCGTCGTCAAGAAGAATCCGCGCCAGACTATGCGGTTTGAAATGCCGCTCAATTTCAGCTTCGCGGCTCTTGCCTCCGAGAAAGACGAGTGCTGCCATGAGTACCATCATGACACAGCCAACGAAGGTGAAGGTGGCGGAAAGCGGTGGGACAGAGAGCGTCACATCCACGTACTTGACACTCGAGTCAAACGCAAGCTCCGATTGACTGAGCCTTTGCTTCACGGTACCAGACTGGAATAGCCAAAAGAGCGCCGACATGTACGCTGGTTGCAAAGATTGCTCCGAGTACAAGTGCAAATTCTGCACACGATCCATAAACACTCCACGCTCGCGTTCACAACGAGACCCGTCGAGTGAAGTCCAGCCAGTAGTGTCTCGAAAGTTGTCAGGGAATACAAAGTCACTCTTGAGGATGTCACTCATATCCACTTCTTGTGCATTGGCAGTCACGAGTGGAGTCCATGACAACAACGATGGCGTGTACGGTGTCAAGTTCTTCACCGGGATGTGGTTTATACCCACAACAACCTGCTGGGTGTCACCCAAAAGCGGAAACACAAGGCCGTGGCAATCGCTGGACTCGCATGACGCCTCATACTTGGAAGCGAGATCCAGAGTTTCCCACGTCAATCGACCTGCTGTGACCTGGTAGATTTTCCGTGCATTTGTCAGCGTCACAACAACTGCTTCATCTTCCGAATCGCCCACAAGAGACGAACGGATAGAGTCGCCAACAATTCGCTTGGCGAAACTAAGCACCAGCATCGAGGTGGTCGAGCGACGCGCGCACTCTCTACTCTTGACATCCATAGTAGCTTTGTAATCTTCGTTACCATGTTCATCGAGACAAATCGGCAACGCTCGCACCTGGCTTCCTTCATCAGCTGGAGCAGTCGTCAATGCAGCTCCCACAGGACTCACGATGCAACCAGAACGACCGCACTCTTCCTTAGCGTTGATCTCGAATAATCCACTCGGCGCTCGAGATCCATAATCCACAGATTGCGTTGTGTCGTTGCGAAAATGCACGTCCCGACGCAAGAAGTCCTTGGTCATGGGAATGTCCAGCGTCACCCCTTCAAACACCAAGTTGCCACTGTCTGTTGACCAGGGAAAGCGCACGAACTCCATGCTGCTCTCAGCAATGCTGAGGTTCCTCAAATGCTTTCGCACATTGACGGCACGATGCATTGTAGTGTTAAACGACTCGATCAGTGGCTCAGTCATACTTGTGTCTTCCGACGATCTTACGTCAAAAGTGTCTGGTAAGCCCACGAAAGCGAACACACTATCATCGGCTGCGACGTCCTGTTCTCGGAAAAAGTCGTCGGTAGCGCGCATGGCATAGCTCATCAGGTTACGCGCAGCAGACAATTTCATCGGCATCACCACGTTTTGCTTCGTCGACTCGAGACGGTCGGCGGCCATCATGGACACGGACACCGTGTTCGAGTCCGTCGTCTCCGGTGCAAATGGCAGCAACGACCCAAACCACGACCGCGACGGAAACCCATAGTCGAGTTGCGCGGGCAGTCGTCGAGGAGACCGTCGACGGCACTGTCCAGCGGCATTCTCTGCCGTGGCATCCGGTAACTCGATGGCACTTCGGAGGAACGTCGCGGCACTTGACGACGTATTGCCCACCGATAAGACCGTAACGCTGTCGTGTTCGAAGAGGTCGTTGTCGCCAATGACTGCATCTTCGCGCACGAGTTCTTCGCTCACGTTCATGGCCATGAACCCATTCAACAGGAACCAAAACACGACGTTGCCCACCAGAGCCAGCGACAGTCGGGTCCAGCGCGACTTCTTCTCCTGCATTGTCAAGCGCGTGAAAAAGCACAAGAGCACCGCGGGCACGACGGCCGTCACGAGGCCGAGCAGCGGTTTCACTACCACTGCCGTGACAACTCCCACACAAAAGTTGAACGTGTCGATCTCACGGCGAACCTCTTGGCGATTAGCAGCTCTGGTCGACTTCGGGTACGACTGGAGCACAATACCGCGTCGGAGGAACACCATCGCGACCGCAATGAGCGCGACGCCTGCGAAAGCGGTGTAGAGGATCCGAAGCCGCTGCAGACGCACTAAGAGCGGCACCGCGTTCGGCGCCACTTGGCGCTGGAACAGAAAGTCTTTGGTCGGCGACGACCCCGAGGGTGTCTCGACGTCGAACATGAGGCTGCCGGGGTGATGGCCATTGCCGCGACTCGTGAACTCGGAGCCATAGGACTGCGACAGCGAAATCTGCGAGATGGACAGTGGCGACTGCATGAAAAGCGCTCGAGTGTATGTGTCTCGAACTCTCTTTTGACGGTACACACACGTGACGGTTGGAAGCTATTGCAAGAACGAGGGGCACCTGATGTCGGGTAGAGGGGAAGGAGGAGGAAGAGGAGGAGGAAACAGACCGAAGGCGGAGGAAGAGGAGGAGGAACGAACAAAGGGCCAACGGATCAGACGCAGGTCGATGCCAAGTCGGTAGTGACGGTCGAGTGCCACCTGGTCAAGAGAAAAAAAGTCGACTCCTTCTCTTACCTCTTTGCTCGGGCCGTCACGCACGACAGGCGGCGTGTGCAATCCATAGCCTGTTGCGCCTCTAGACGTGGTCAACAGGACGCAGCGCGTGTCAGATGGTGGTCGACAGCGAGCGAGCAACGCGTGTGGTCAGGTGGAGCGGACGAGGGAGAAAACGTGCCGGAGCAGAGTTCGCGGCGGATCTTATGCCGCCGAGCAAAGAGGGAACGCATCGACCGACTACTCTCTCGTGGGTGGGTGCGACCACTGCAACAGTTACGACGGCAAAAGCGTCGAGTTGACGCTTTTGCAACGTAACGGCCGGAAAGAAACGGTGCGCCCGCCAGTGCAGAGACGAAGAAGTCTTCTCACCGCGACGCGGCACGCGCACGTTTGAGGGTTTCTATGGGCTTCTCGGGCCGTTAGTCCACACGTTGGGTACCCCCACCCACTCTGTAGACTCGCAACTGCCGACGGTCGTCTTTCGCACGACAGCACAGCAGCTTCAAGTCAAGTCAATTCAAGACCGTCGGATCGCAAACACGTGATGCATGTGACACTACGGTTGGCTTTCTGCAACGCGCGTGATCATAGTCGCACTTGACTGATCGTTGCCCCACAGGAGGTACTCGCAAAAGGACTCGCGGCGAGTCGTTTCGGGCCAAGGGCTCCGTCGTTGTGGGAAGGCATTGGGTCACGCGTAACATTACCAACGGTCGTCACGGGTCAGCACGTGGTCAGACGTGCTGCTGTTACTGCTTGTTCTGGTCAGTCGCGTCTGAAGCCAAATTATACGAGACCGCCAGTCGAATTGTGGTGGCGCTGCTCCTGCTTGTCGGCCCCCGGGATGTTCCCGATGAAACGCGGGTGGCTGCCTCCTTGAGTGTATTTCTGTATCCAGCAACGGGCATGCAAGTTTACAGTCATCGAAATGTGTATTACAAGTTCGCAAGCTGCGACGAAGAGAACAACGTGGAAGAAAGAAAAACAAATGTCTATACCGGCAGGTACGCCTGCTTGTCTTGAGACCGAAACTGCACACAACACCACCAAACGCCACCACCACACATGACATCGAAAAGATCAGTCCAAAGGTTACTCAGCAAGCATCGACTAGCAAAGTCCGTACCCCGACAGGCGGCGGTGACGCGAGTTGGTTTTCCGCGTTAGGGTCGCTGCATAGTCCCTGGTAGTCTGGCTCCAATGGGCCGCGCTCGAGCATTGCCGGCTGCTTGTACATATCCTCCAGCACTTGCTCCAAGTCGTTCATTTGACGCGAACGACGCGAGTCGATCATCACGGCGTGGTCGAGCGGAAGGTTCCGAGCGATGGCTGGATAGCGCGACGACACGAACAGGTGGAACGCCAACGTAAGGAACGGTAACGCGATCGAGAACGACGCTGCTAGCGCCACTTGTTTCGTAGCCAGCACCGATGCCATGATGATCTGAGCGAACATGAGGGCACCGACGATGAATCGGTACAGCGACGGGAAGAACGTGCCCGACGTATTCGTGGACGGGTCGTGCACACACATGGCTGCCCATCGGTACACGAGGTCCGACAGCAGCAAGTAAGCCATCGCAAAGTAGTTGAGAATGGGCGCAATGGCGCAGAACACCAGCACGAGCATCAGCACCAGAAAGTACTCGGACACCTGGTCCGACGCGCCGAAATTCCCAGGGTGCGCCAGCGAATTGAGACCGAGCCATGCGGACGAGCGTTCGCGTGGTGTGAGCTTGGGGGCAAAGACTTCATAGATAGCAGCCTTGATGATGGGAACCACACGTAGCAGCACCAATGTCAAATTGAGCCCGGTCTTGACTAGAAGATACGTGATGAAGAAAGACGACTGGACTGCAACCGAGTCGCTGATGATGGTGAGAATCGCACTCACGTCCGTAAGATCCGAGTCACCCGATCCAATGACAGCGTCAATGACGACACCACCAATAATGGGCAGCAAGAACGTCACGTAAATCTGGTAGATCACCAACTTGTTGAGCAGCGAGGCATCCACCTGAGTGGCAAAAGCATGGCCTTCACGCTTCGACAGAAATCCAAAAATGATCGGGGCCAGAGCTGTCATGATGGATAGCATCAGCGGAGAAATCTGCTCCAGCAACGACTTGACCCACGGATAGTCTCGAACCACCCGCGCGAGCCAAGACCACTGGTTCTCGAGCGAGTCGACTTTGGCAAACGACACCACGATACCTGTAGGTACTGTCCAAAGCAAAATGATAGCAGTACTAACACCCATCGAGATCATGAACCACGTGTCCTTGATGTTCTTGGACAGCCCAATGTTCGGCCACACCACGTCGTCCGCATGATCAGCAGGCTCTACGTGCATCTTTGTAGGGTCGGCACTTTGCAGGATCTGAGTGCACGACTGAGCTGCCTTGAGACTCCGAAAAGTGACAAACCCTGCCGGTCGCATGATCCCAAGTCCCTTCTTATCCTGTCGCTTGAGTCCTTTGATGTACAACGATTCCACTGCATCGGCGTCCAAGTCGTCTTCCTTGAACGAACAATTGAGGTAACTCGACGAGTCGACGTTCGGATTAAAACCACGTCCGTCGTCGTCCGTGCTCGACTCCACAAGATGTCGAGTTACAACTGCTTGGCTTCGCAAGATCGAGTTCATCTCCTTCTCCACGGCATCGTTCAGTTGCTTCAGCTGCTCTTGGTACAGCTCCACTGCATCGACCTGCTCTCCTCTTTGCAGTATATTTGTCTTTACACTTGTCAGCACGCGGTCTCCGGTTTTCGCACTTTGCGCCAGCACATGTTCCAGCTTCGCGCACACTTTCACGCGCTCTGCAACAAGTTTCTCCAGATTGTGGCACTCGAGAGCCACGTAGACGTGCAACACGGACTTGGGGAATAGCAGCTCGAGGTACGTGCCAAGCGTCTGTTGCGTGCACAGGTTCGGCGGCAATCCATTCAGCACGACAGTGTACTGCTGCGTGTGTTTCCGCGACATGAACTCGTGCCGGCGTCGAATGTACTCTTCGTACTCTTGCCAGAGCAGAAAACAGGCCGCAAGTGAGACCAAGTACATAGTGGCTACGGTGGACCCAAAGCGCCACGTCTCGTCCGTCTCCAAGTGGGAGAGCGTCATCATATACAGCGCGTCCAGCGAGTCGCGCTTGGCGTAGTAGTAGATGGGGAAATTCGCGGCCGAGCACACAATGCCCACCGCTGTGACTTTCTCGCAGAAGCGCAAGAAGCGAAAGAAAAAGAGCGTGTCCATGCCGCAGTGGGCCAAAATGGCGTCGTCGCGGGTACAAAAGAGCAGCCGCAGCCACCCAAAGACCGTCGCGTCGTGGCACCGCGTCACGGTCTCGTTCGTCGTCTCGGCTTTGTTCTCGCGGCAGTAGTACGCGCGGTAGAGCCTCGCGCGGCCGAGTTCAAAGGCCAGCCACCCCACGGCGCCAATGACGTAGTACACGCGCATGCCGTCGAGGATCGTCGACGACGGCGTCAGGTCTTCCGTCGCGGCTTTCTCCGTCACACTCGCTGCTTTGTCGGCCATTTTCGCTCGGCGCTTCGGTCGGTGACGCGCGACAAGAAGAAGAGGTACGAGAGAGGACACGTGCAGTGGCGTGGCGACCGTTCGAAAAGTGACGAACGGGGCGTCGAGCAGGTGCTGACTGGACTGTGACAGACCGACAGACGGCTTCAGTGGCTACCGCTGAGGTGTATAGAGAATCAGAGGCCGTCGAGACAGAGAGAGAGAGAGAGAGAGTGAAGAGCTGACGGTTTTGTCTTTTTTGCGGGGCGTGAGTGACTTAGTTGGCTGTGTGTGTGTGAGTATGTTGCTCATAAGACCAGAGGCGTGGGATTTGCCCAGTGATTCGCTTGTTTTTGTCGCTGCTACGCCGGAAGAGTCACTGCAGGACTGCGGCCCTCGTCTCCACTGACTGCTTTTGATGGGTATAGAAGCAAAATGTGGGTCCGGATGTCGTCGTTCGTGATTGGTCTGGGAAACTGCCGTGATTGGTCGGGGAAACTGCCGTGATTGGTCGCGACACGGTCCTGCTTCGATATTCAGAACACGCCATGGCATGGGCTAAATGGAAGCGTGTGATTGGTCCGTGCTGTGTTTTGTGCATGCACGAGAGTAACTTGCAGGTACGTGTAGGAAGTAGACTGGGCATTTTGGTAGGTCTATATTGCTTGGATTTGCGATCCAATACGACGCACCCTTCACTGCCATCGCTGGTTTCTGGCCAAGCAATGGCGAACAGTGTGGTCGGTTCGCATGAGACGGAGGTCCATGCTTGTCGTTCGCTTTTCGACGAAAAGGAACATGACCATCGACGGCTTCAAGCGTGACAGGATGGACGGAGAGACAATCAGTCACATATCAGCATATCTGCAACGTTAGCTACTTCACGTCAACATTCAGTGCCGACCAACTTCAACGTGATGGTCAGTAGAAGAGGTCGGGCTTAAAGTTCTCATGCTTCCTAGTTTCAACTGCTTTCTCGATCAATAGACTCCTTTACGATACAATCCACGTGCTTTTGTTCGTTCTGTTGCTTGCAAGCAACTAGGTGACACTTCCGTATCCTAGTTCAGCAACAGAGGCATACAAGGCTATCTTCATGTCCTTCTCATCGCGCGTATGATTCCAGAAAGGTGAACAAGGCATGGTAGAGACACGCTTGAATTATCCAACGAATTCCTGAGAAATGTCGATGTCTGTAAAGGGATTTATCAATGACGCTATAAAGAGGATGTTGTGCTGCAGATGGAATGTCAGACACAGATAGCAACAAGATTGGAACCGACCATCGTTTTGTTTAACATTTATGATTGCAGAAACGTGAACACGGAATGGTAGAGACACGCTTATATGGTAAAAAGCTGGAAGATGTCGACAAACAAACGTGTCTTTATCGTCGAATGTATCGATCTAAATTTATGGCCAGTGAAGCTGGATTCTGATTCGACCAATCATAGCGGTGGCCGGACGCGCGTGTGATACACCAGAGTGGCATCAATTTACCGAAATCAATGTCAGGACCGCAGATCACGGACTCCAGATGATTGCCAAATGTGTTTGTTACATTAGCACCATCGCACATGTAATTTATAGCGCAGACAATTCCGTGTCTCCTACGAAACGATGCAGTGTCAGGGCACAAACGTGTGCTGTCGTCAAACTGCAGTAGAATGTCGCACACTCTATATAAGGATCGCGGACGCCAATGCTGCAGCTTGCAATCGACGATCGATAGCACAAGGCTTCAACGTAAAGAAAAGCAGGACTTCCTCACACACTTTTCGCATTGTACGTTACCTCGTGCTGCAATTCGATAGACTTGCACTGACAATGCATTACTCGGACCGGGACCATGTTGACAATAATTGCAGCGCAAGATTTCGTTTTCACTGCTGCAGCTCACTGCAACGAATCCGTACGACCGTAAACTATGTACCCACCCATCGTACAGCTGCCCACCATAAAAACATCGGATAATCCACCATCGTCCACGCTTGACCATCCGCCATGGACCATGACGATGGCGGCGACCTCAAGACGTCTCTCCTCGCCGCTTCCCGTCCTTACGCGCCGTCTCTCGGCTCTCTTCCCCCCAGCCTCGAAGCCACATCTCCATGTCCTTCTCTTCCTCTCCCCCGTCGTCCCTCTCACTCGTCGTGGATGTACCCACCGAGCGGCGAAACCCGTCGGATCCAAGTCGACGTCCGCTCCCTCCAGCGCTCTCGCGCACTCTTAGAGGCCCCGAAACGTCTCTTGGGCCAATGGCCGTCCACTGCCATCTGCGGCAACGACATCCTCGCCAGTGTCCTCTACTCGTCGGGCATTGTGGCCGCCAAGGCGGGCAAACTGACGCCAGTGGCCCAACTGCTCGTGGCTCTCGTGCTGTTTCTCTTCAGGTCCATCTACGAAGAAGCCGTGACGGCCGTCCCGCTGAACGGCGGCTCCTACAACGTGCTGCTCAACACGACGTCGAAGCGCACGGCAGCAGTCGCGGCGTCGCTCGGGATCATCTCGTACTTGACCACGGGCGTCGTCTCTGGGACCTCAGCCATGCGGTATCTGGACACTCAAGTGGATGTGCAAGTGATGCCAGCGACCGTCGCACTGCTGTTTGTGTTTGCGCTGCTGTCCATCATTGGCATTGCAGAGAGCGCGACAGTTGCGCTCGTGATTTTCGTCGTCCATGTCGTGACGTTGACGCTCTTGAGCGGGTTCTCCTTTTACTATGCAGTGACCCATCCCGAGACGTTCTGGACGAACTTGAAGACGGGGTTTCCAGACATTAATGTGGCGGGGGACGTGGTCAAGGGGAACGTGGTGACGGGCATTTTCTTTGGCTATTCGTCGGCCATGTTGGGCATCACGGGTTTCGAGACCTCAGCCCAGTTTGTCGAGGAACAAGCGCCTGGTGTCTTTCGAAAGACGTTGAGGAACATGTGGATCTTTGCTACTATTTATAACATTATGCTGTCGGTCCTGTCTTTGGCGGTGCTGCCGTTGGAAGGACCTGGAGGGATCTACGACGAAAAAGACGTGGTGCTAGCGACGATGGGAAAAGTGGTGGCTGGTCCATGGCTGGAAAGCTGGGTGTCTGTTGACGCTTTTGTGGTCCTGGCTGGTGGTGTGTTGACGTCGTATGTGGGAATTACTGGACTCGTACGACGTCTGGCGTTCGACCGTGTACTCCCGGCGTTTCTTACGTGCACCAACAAGTGGCGCGGCACGAACCACCACATCATTTTGCTGTTTTTCGCGTTGCAAGCAAGTCTTGTGATCTTGCTGCATGCGGACGCTACAGTTCTTGCTGGAGTTTTCACGTTTGCATTTCTGGGAGTCATGGCTTTGTTTGCTTTTGGCTGCATACTACTTAAACTAAAGCGTGAAGACATTCCGCGTGATGTGTATGCGCCGTGGTGGAGCTGCATTTTTGGACTAGTGATGGTGCTGCTTGGCTTGCTTGGTAACTTGCTGGGTGACCCCACCATCTTCATCTATTTTTCATTGTACTTCATCGTCTTCGTGTCGGCGATGTTCATCATGCTGGAGCGCGTCTTTATTCTGCGGATCGTGCTCTACATACTAAAACATGTTTTCCCCTCGCGTGGAGCCCGTGATGACTCGAGCGTGTATATCGAAGCTTCCACGTCTCGTGCCAAGTCTAAAGAAAGGACTCGAACGGGAGCCATCGGTGGTCGCACGATTACAGCGGTGCTCAAGGCAATTCACCTTCCACCGATAGTGTTTTTCCTCAAGACCCCCGATATATCCGTGCTGAACAAAGCTATACTTTACGTGCGAGAGAACGAGCACACGCACAATTTGCTCGTGATACACGTGAGTGAAGAAGATGCAAGCTTTGACGAGAATAGCAGTGCAGAAGTGACGGATGCTGATGTGCGTCGGCGATCGCTTAAGCGAGAGGATGTGGAGAATATGCGTGAGATGGCTCGAGTACTGGACCTGACGTACCCAAAAATCAAGATTGACTTTGTGCATATTTGTGGCTCGAGCTTTGACAGCGCTCTTATCCACTGGTTATCCGATGAGTTGAGTGTGCCGCCCAACATGATGTTCGTCCGGCAGCCAGGTACTAAACACATTCATCAAATCGCAGCGCTGGGTGTGCGGGTCATCACTGGCTAGTGCTGCACCTGGTACATGCAGTTGATCGGCAGTTGCAATATTTGCAGCTTTTGCGGGGGGGGGGGGAGATGGCACTGACAAAGAAAAGAACGTGATGCTGGTACAATGGAAGGAGGTCGATGAGAGCGAGGACAAGGATCTCAGGTCGATACCAAAGGAATGGAAGGACGCGTCATTGAGTCGGATCATTACAGCTCGACGTTTGCTGCGCAGAGTTCGTCATAGAACGAAGCTTGACTTGATCATCATTTGAAGCAGTAAAATGACGTATAGAAGCAATGTTGTCTTTAGCTTCAAGCCGCTCGAATCCATGATCTCTCTGCGTGCTTGGTCAGATTATTGGTGGCTGCGATACTCTAAATGTCAATATAAGAGTCGCGCAAGTCAAAGACTGGCGGCGTCAAACGATGCAATGCAACATGCTCCTGTCCTTGTGTGTGTATCAAATCTGGATAGCCGCTCTACACCGCGTGAGGATAAGAGTGACGTAAACAAGAATTTAGATCATGAGAGGGTTCAGCCTTGCACCTGGTAGGGGCCGAGATTGGCAAGTTCCGATCAGAAAAAGCATGTGGTGACCAAGTAGGTAACGCCGGCTCAGAGAATGAGCAAATACAAAAGCGAACGATGGTCGATGAAGGCAATGATAGGAATGATAGTCGATCGTCACGAATTGTGTCAACTTCTTTGCTTTGTTGTTCTGCATTATTTACACGCAAAGTTAGGGTGTGAGAAGCAAGACAAGACGCAATTAGCAGCAGTTTTAGACAACGGATGATGCTTATGGATTATACTGACTACAAAGTTTTGAGGAATTGTGGTGCAACACACGCGTGCGTGGGGCTGCGAGCTCGTGGAAACAGCGACAAGCCGTTTCCACGAGGTCGCAGCCCGAAGTAGTCAACGTCCCGGCCAAAACAAATGTCCACGTATGGGCGATGATTTGACCGGAACGGGATATCGCGATTGCGCGATCGACGCAGCTCATCATTTTATTGCAAGACCACGACGGTAGAACTGATGCGGCTGACGCGCGCCAGAGAGATCTCGGATAGGATGATGATGATACATGTGCGCCTGATGTTGACTACGAACGAAGGACAATGGGCAGTGAACGAACAACGCATGTAGATCGCGATGCATGTTACAATTTTGTATACCATATCATTCTCAAGTTGGTGAACGAATCGGTATGATTATTTAGTATTCGCTGACAAAAACGAGCCATGGCATCTGGTCGTTGTCAGCTAAGCTCCGTTCGCTCTATTATTTACGCTCCAGTATCGCCATTGATACGACATATGCCAGTCTGGACTTCTTTTCAGATACTCAGGGCAGTGGGTAAAGACTATTGACGAACCGAAGTTATATTTACGCGTAATTTGACGAAAGTATCATAGAATTTGATTGCTGGCAATGATAAGAATCAAAAGTTCGACCCGACACCCTGTGCGATAATACACACACAAAATTTAGATCTATCTTCCACTCATCGACTCCTTATCTGTTTCAGATTGCTGGATACGCTTCCGCTTCAGCATATCATCGATCTAGCACTTGCGTTCGCAGCACATGTGACCCACAGACGTTTCGATCACTCGATCGAACGCAGGGGCCGTTGCCTACCATGAAAGTGTACGTAACTGCCATTGCACGGCGTACACCATATTTAGGCAAAAGTGCGTTGACGCAGTAGGAGGTTAATAAGATTCTATATATTGCTTGTTACTTGCTCGCTCTCTTCCTGCCTTGCTGGCTCTATCTCTCCTCCAGTAATCTGCTTTGTACACGTGGCACCTATCTCCCAGCAAAACGGCTGGCGCCAATCGTCCAACTTCTATCCTCTCGTCTCACCCTTGTCGAAATAGCGTGACAAATTAAAGGAGATTAACTGGTGAGGTGCAAGGGCGCGACTGGTGATGTTGAAGAGGCGCGACCCAAGTAACGGACGGAGAATCGAATGGGTTTACATGGGTGATCTTTGGTATCTAATGAATAAGATAACAAAGGATCATTAGCTCTACATACATTTAGTTCCTCTTATCCTTACAACTGGTATAGTGCTAAAAAAAGAACAGGTTATGAGCTCAAGCCCGCCTAAAGCCCCTCCTGAAGCCCCTTCTGCAGCTCCGCCAGGAGCTCCTGGCATGAGTGATGTCGATGAGACGACAAGCGACAGCGCGGACATCTCTCAACTGAGAGAACGAGGAATCTTTGAGCATGGTGTGGATCGTCTGGATAGACTAAGGGACTTATCGGAAAGCTGATGCGTGACTTGGCGCGGAAACGCGTGGAGCGAGCTTAGCTACCTCCTGCGGACCCGGATACTTGTATAAGAAGTGACTCAAGCTTGTATAGCCACTTCTTGGCTGCTGAACAGAACAGGAGCAGGGCAGAATCGCTTAGTGAAGCGACGGGTATGCAAGCGCCATTTTTGCCGCATCCAAGAGCGCAGCAACAACAGCAATTATTCCCTACGGTGCAGGCTTATGCGCAGCCAATGCAGCACTTACGTCCCCTACAATTATTTGAAGCTAAGATGTCAACTGTCAGGGATATGAAGCTGCCCATCGAGCGCTTCACTGGGAAAGAAGAATATAAAGGTCTTGGATCAAGGTTGAAAGACTGGAAATTGCAGTTACTGGACAAGCTTGGAGTGGCTCAACGCCTTAGTGAAGGTGAATGGACTACGGAGTACAAGATGAGAAAATTTAATCGGTATCGATGGAATTGCAAGAAACCAAGTCGATAAGATGAAAGAAGTCTGGGCGTCCAAAGTGCCTACGATTGAGCATTTGATGAACATAATGCTAGAGGTTTATGACCAATAAATCACCGAGGATCAAGCCACACGATTTGTGCAGACTCATAAGCAGAGAGGTTGGTTTTGGACGGAGCGTTACCAGTATTTGGTAGCCGTGGTAAGTTCGGCAAGCTCTCCATATCAAATTGTGCTCCAGTACATCTGCGAGGGGGCTGCGCCGGAAGTAAGACGAGCCATGCAGACGCGGATTAATCGTCGCCGCACCGACTACCTTGAGCAGGCTTGGGAGTTGGCGGAATCTGCCAGTACATTTGAGCAAGACGCAAGCGCTCATGTGGTAAGCGGGGGAAGACATTCCACTTACAGTCGAAGTAATACCCGCGGAGGAAATGTTGCTACTAATGCGATTGTCTTTGGCGTTGGGGGACGAATCTGGGAACGCACTCAGCTTGTTTATACGAAGAAAGAGTGCAAGAATAAAATCGGTGTTAATCAGGCGTCATCGCCTTAAGCAGTGGAACCGCCCTGAATGGCCGAAAGCATTCTAGAATTCTCGATAGCGACACCAGCCGGCACCTGGTAATGAATGCCAGCTTGCTTTTGGACGCAGTCGACTGCTCTGATGAGTGTAATGTTGCTGACGGACAAGCTATCAAGGTTATGCTGGTGGGTCAAGCCACTCTGCAATCTCCCGTGGATGGGGTTACGCACATGGTTCCATTGAGCGACGTTTATTATGCAAAGGACATAACGTACAACCTGCTATAGTACTGCAAACTCGAAGAAAAGGGGGTTGCACTCAACTACGAAGAAGGAAACCGCTATTTGAAGCGTACAAGTGATGGTACAGAAGTGTTTGCAGTTGAAAAGGAGAACGGCGTGCTGGTCGTATGTACGCAGTGTGACGCAGATGCTCCGAAAAGAAACGAAGTGGTGTATGCGACCCTACTCGTTGCAGACACTGAGATAGAAATTGGGGTATCGGTGAAGTGCATGCTTTTGAAGCTTCATAAGCGCCTCGGTCATTTTATGTACAACACAGTTGAGAAAATGGTGGACAGTGAAGGCTCGGGCTTTCAGCTGATCGACACAAAAAAATCAAGCTGCATCACCCGTGCCCAAGACAAACAACCCAAGATTTTAATTTGAGAGAGATATCGGGTCGCATTTCTCTATTGATCAAACCGGTGGTGTGGTGTAGAGAATTTCAGTCCCGGAATATTAGTTTGGCGACTTAAGGGTCAGCGACTTAAGTGTCGGCGACATGGGTGTCGGAGACTCAAGTTTCAGCGGTTTGGGTGTCGGCGACTCAAGTGTCAGCGACTTAAGTGTCGGCGAATCGGGTGTCGGCGAATCGGGTGTCGGCGAATCGGGTGTCGGCGATTTAAGTGTCGGCGACTCAAGTGGCGGCGACTTAAGTGTCGGCTACTCAAATGTCGGCTACTCGGGTGTCGGCGACTTAAGGGTATAGCAGAATGCGAGAAGATCGAACGACAGATTCATCACTTTATTTGTATAGGAACTAGGGAAGGACAGAGAGCCATTCAAACTGGCTCTGCGAGAAAGCAAAAGAGATGAACCAAAACAGTTCAGAATGTTCTAAGTCCAAGACACGCGTACACTTAATGTAAGTCCCTGCGTGGGCTAGATTATGCCTGCCGTCGAACCCCGGGAGGCATAGCTTGTAGAGGTATAGACTTGTAGCGCCAAGAGTTAGGAAGGCCCCGGCTGGGCAGCGCTCGCTACTAGCGAAGGAAGGAGTCTCGTCGTCGACGAGCCGGTGACCCAACAGACGGCACCGTTGAAAGTCTTTTCGAGCGACAAGCCGGTGGGCCTCAGCCGAGGGCATCGTAATTCTTCTAGTCGGGCGTAGTGTCCGACTAGAAGAAATACGATGCCCTCGGCTTAGTGTCCCGGTACCTGTAAAAACGCGTGAGCGTCGGCTTCCACCCGTTGTTGTAGAGTCACAGGGAGAGAGAGGTTTACAAGCTGCTGAGCTCAGGCAGACTTCTGGAGAAGAGGTCATAAGGAATAGGCTAGGCGAAAGCCGCAACTGAACCCAAAGGGGCGAATCGCGTAGGGATTTATCCAAACGTACCAGCCCGATGCGCCGACTAAGCTCGGCAATTGTTGTGTTTGTACGTTGAGGATGTTATACGACGGAATTAAATAACTACTATACCACAGTGGGGTCATCTGGAGCAAACTAAAAGGTCAAATGACACCAACAGATCGGTGTGGTAATCTGGATATATGATCAACTTCGTTGATTACGCCTCGAATTATTGCAGAGCCTTTTTCGCGTGCAAGAAGGATCTAGCTACAATAATGTTTAAACCTTTTTTTGTTTTACTCGAGCGCACATTTAATTGCAAGGTGCAATTCTCAGAACGGACGGTGGTGGTGAATACCGAAACGTGGATATGGTTTGCAAGTCGATTGGGGTGGTCAGACATGTGAGCGAAGCTGGCAATCAAGCCTCCAATAATAAGGTAGAACGCATGCACAGGACAGTGCTCAATATGGTACGGTGCATGATATTTGCTAGTGGCTTACCATTGCACTTCTAAAGTGACGCAATGAAGTATGCAACGTATATCTTAAACCGCAGCCTAAGCAGAGGAAAATAAAAGCGAGCTTTTCAATCGAAGTTTATACTGTTAAAAAACCTATTATCGCTGATGTCGTAGATTTTGGAAGATCCTGCACGACTTTTCACGACCCTGGCAAGAAATCTTGGAGACCGCGCGCCTAGGTCGCAATTGTTGTTTGAAAACATGACGCGACCAAAGGGTTCAATGTTTTTTTACCGCGCGAACGATTGTTCATAATGACGCAACATGTCAAACACGTGGGGACAATGAGCGATGAAGTAAATCTACAATTATGGGAGCAGTTATGCCGAGAGTACCACTTGCTGATTATGGCGGTACAAGAAAGGGAGGAGAATTCGGAACGAAAGGAGTGCGTTGTTTCTTCCAAGCGCTCGGTCAAGCGCGGGGCGTGTGGCAAAGGAAAGAATGCCAAGGAAGTGCTACCGGAGAGCGATGCTGGTTCTCGCATAGATGGTTCGAATGAAACTCGTATGATTACTTGGCACATGGGAGCCAAGTGTGTTACAGTTGCGATGGTAAACTTAGGTAAAAGATTTGCAAACATACAAAAAGGCTGTACAGTCTGAAGCTAAAAGGCATCGGCGTGAAGCAATGCTCTTAGAAATTGAATCGCTAACGGCAAATGGAACATATGAAATCACACTTCGAAGCCTCGTTTAGAAGTTGCTGCATTTTAAAGGGGTATATAAGACTATTAGACATGTAGACGGAACACTGGAGCGATTAAAGGCAAGGCTGGTAGCCTGCGATGATGAGCAGGCATTCGTTGCTAATTTGGGCCAAATAAAGATGTTGATTGCCATAATCTAAATAATCTAAGCTAGTTTGTGGAAAAAATCTTACTTATTTATGAATTTCTATAATGTCGTTTATGTTTGCGCCATGCGCTGTGTCAACGTGTCGAGAACACCGCGATGATTTGTCTGGAAGATGCCTTTCAGCGAGGGGTGAATTAAGCACGTGCGATTTGGATTAATTTCCTACTTTAAATGGAAAAAGCGGATCGACCGACGACGTTTTGGCAAACGCAGTCGACAGTCCGCTGCAGAACGCACGAAAAGAGTTAAATTGACCGCCCTGCTAGATGCCCTATGCCTCGTCAAAAAAACGTGTTCACGTCGTGCTTCAGACGACGGCGCGCAACTTGTCGTCTTCGTCGTACGTCATGCGAAGCAGCCTGTGGTCCGACTCGACATCGTCAATCCACTCCTCCGTTCATATTTCGCAAGCTGATCACGGTGCGGCGCCAGAACTCAGGACGAACATTTGCGGCAACAGCTTGACAAGCTGCGTAGGCAAGACCGGCGGTGCATCTTGCGTGCGAGGCAGATTGTTGGCTTCGCGCTCTGATCGCACGCTCTGCAGGACGATCACCAGGTTCATCGCGTAGGTAGGAAATTGCGTGCGACGTCTAGCTTCTCGTCGTCGCTCAGCGCCTTCAACAGCTGCGTGGACCTTGAGCCCTGGTCCTCGATGTGAGAGACAATATCCGCATAGGCGATACTCATGCCACCGTCAACAAAATAGTCGTCCATTTGCCCATCAGTCGTGTCAATGCTGAACATCGCGACAAGCGATCCAAATAAATTGACAATGTGCTCGTCCTGATGCGCTATCAGGAGCGCCTTTTTCTATATTTATCTTGTTGACACTGCAAATGTCAGGAGACGCAGCGTACGTCATAATCCACCAGATCGACGACGGCGGGACGAACGTTTGATGATCAGCCGCATAGTTTACCAGTCTTCGCCGGTATGTTTTGAAAAATCTCAGCACGATGCCGTAATTAACCCAGCGAGAAGTCAGCTTCGGGCACTTGACATTTATCTCGTTATTGAATCTGTTTTGAGCACGCAGGAAGACGCTAAATGCGTGCGCATTGGCGACCCATACGCCGTAAAACACATTGGCAGACGAGTTCTTCATTTCCTAATCAATTTGATGAGGCAAGCACCAAATGCGAAGGACAGTATGCTCAGCTGCAGCGCGTAATCTAGTGAACAAGCTGGCATGGCGGCCAGTCATTGCGTTCTTGCCGTCCAAAGCGACGCAAAGCAATCTGCCACGCCACGATCCGTAAAACGCGTCCATAAAATAGCAGACCGTATCAAATATGATCTGCGATGTATTCCTGTCGAACATTGGGATGGCGACGAGGTGCAAGTTGACCAGGAAACCGCGGTAGCAGATCGCAAAAGCATGTCAAAGAACGACTGACCGCGATGCGTACAGCCATCAAACGCGAACGAAAATGCCCAGACGGACGAGTCACCCATGGAGTCCGCAATTCGTTGCAAGTTCGACGCGACAAGAGCGCGAATGAACTGGCCGGCCATCAAACTGTTTATGCCAGTGAGCTTTGGCGTTTACGTACGTCGCTTGGCATGTTCGATTGCCATGTCCGCCTGCCTGCAAGACATGCTGCTTCCCTCATGGTCCAATGCGAGTTCGTAATGCATCACATTCTTGATGGTGATGACGTACTTCTCAGTCTCCTAGTCCTTGACGAGCAGCTTCATCGCATTCGCCTATTCGCTGGACTTCTTGTCTATTTTCTTGGCTACAGCCTTCGCTGCTTCAGACGCCACGAGGTAGTCTTCATTTTCGTCTTTGGCATTGTCTAGCATTTTGTCGTTCCTAAAGAACATGTCGCCGATGATGGTCTCGACGATTGGCGGCGAAGCTTTTAAACTCTACAGTGTCACCTCCAACGTCGAGGTAATGATGCAACGTGTTCATGATCTTCGTCTTACAAGTAAAGTTTTTGCGCGTCTCCGCGTTACAAAGCTCGCTTTACTCTTCTCAGGCCTTGAGATGCTGCGACGTATTGTGACTGCGATAGCTATGCGGCGCGAACGGTTTCGTGCAGTATTCAATGTCAACGCGCGACTTACGTTCTCGTCCAGTCGATTTTCCAACCTTAACCTTGTCACTCCTGTCATTGATGCAGAACAGGCATCGCGCATTTTGCGCGCCACCCTTTTCCGTCTTGATGAGCGCCGAACTCCAGCGTATGCTTCTCCAGAAATGGCGTCGTCTTGGGCGCCATTGTAGTACATTGGCTGCACAAAATCACGATTTTGCGCTGTATAAAGTGATTTGTTAAGATCTTAGTTTATGGACCATAAATATTTAGTTTATGGATATCCGACCCTATTATTGGATTTTACACAAAATTATCAGGCCTATGTTAATAACACCATGACTTTCAGTGCCGTGATGAGAATACTTACGGCAAAGTTGGTACTGGCGCTGGCGCGAGCATGTACGAGGGGCCTGATAGACACGGTAACTTCTCTGATGCTGTTATCAAATCATAAAAAGAAGAGAACCTCGATATTGCGCTTTAGTTGTCGCAGAGAATGGAATGGGAAGAGGACGAGTTAAAAATATTGAGCCCAAGTGACAAGAGTAAGGTGGCGCTAAAGCTTAGCAATATTCTTCGCGGTCTTCAGTAAGCTGGACGTTTGTGGGCACAATTTATGTATGATACAATCAGTAAGCTTGGATTTACATGGTGCTATAAAGTTAGCTGTTTATAGGTGATAGGTGATGAATCAACCACGGCATTGGTGGGCGTCTACGTGAACGACCTGTTAGTGACTGCCAAGAGGGTCTGTGGCGTAAATCAATTTCTCAGGGACATGGACGTACTTGAAGTGAAGAACCTCGGTTAAGTTTCGAAATTTTTAGGCTTTGGTGTATCGTACGATGAAGATACTGGGTATAAGCTGCAACAGCGTAAGTGTGTTCGTGAAATACCAATTGGGCTGCGACTGGAGCAAGCTAATCCTGTGCGTGCCCCAATCGGAGACGACCAAGATGGCGATGAAGAGGGAGCTTTACTACCAAGTGTCGGTGATGGTACACTAGAGAGACCGAGTGTGAACATGTTCCATTCCTTAATCGGAAGTTAGGTATGACCGTCTCGATGTACAAGACCGGATATAGCATTTGCTGTGTACCGTCTCCAGCCAAGCACATGCGCCGAGGGACTTCAATTGGCGGTGGACGTATAGAATTGTTCGCTACTTGAAGGGAACCGTCGACTAAAAACTTGATCTACAAGGAAAGTGAGATTGAAACTTCACGAGAAATCGTTCTTAAAAGTTGCAGCGATGCAGATTACGCGGCGGATTGCGCGGATTGAAAATCTATAAGTGGGTAATTTTTTTGCTTGCACGCTATGGTTGTGGGTTTTGGACATTTCGAAAACAGGTGAGTGTGGCGATAATTACGACGGAGGATGAATTTGTGGCTGCGTCGCTGGTGACAAGTGACCTGCTAGGACTGAATGAGCTGCTAGGTGAAATCGGATTGCGCGTGGCTAAGCATATGCCGTTGCAAGTCGACAATCAAGATGCGATCAAGCAAATACAAGGCAGAGATAGTGCCGACAGGGCGAAGCACACCGCTGTGCATCTCAAGTCAGATAAGGATTACAGCAAGAAAAAGGTGATCAAGTTGGTGTATTGTGAGTCACGCTTTATGCGATCTGACCTTCTCACCAAAACACTCGCTGCGCCACGATTGACGGAGCTACGCCAGCTAATATTGCTAGTTTAAAGACATTCAGGGAAGGAGTGTTGAAATAGAGCGACTGGTGAGGTGCAAGGGTGCGACTGGTGATGTTGAAGAGGCGCGACCCAAGTAACGGACGGAGAATCTCATGGGTTTACATGAGTGATCTTTGGTTTCGGATGAACATGATAACAGAAGACCATAAGCTCTACATACATTGGTTCCTCTTTTCCCTACTACTGGCAACGTGACATAAACCAACAACCTAACACCGTCATCGCCCAGAATGCCCTCTTTCCTGCATCCCTCCTCGATTGTTCCTCCGTTATCTCACCTCTCCCCATCGTCGTGCACCGTCGACGCATCTTCTACCTGATCTTCGTGAGCTCGCGCAACGTCCAAAGCTTTGTCGCGTCCAGTGCCTACGTCAACAGATCCGCGAGCATCATATCGAACCTAGCAAAGTACGCGATGGTGATGCCGCGCCGAGCGAAGTCGCAGAAGAGGTTATGTCAGACGTCCACGTGCTTCGTCTTCAGCGACGATGCTTCTCCAGCGATATGTCTTATAACCGCCTTGTTGTCGACGTGCAGCTGCATGGGCAGCGCTAGACCAAGCCCGACCTCCATCAGCATCTCTCGCACGCCGAGTATCTCCCGAGCGATCTCGCTGACGGCTACAACCTCCGCCTCCATCGTCGACGGTGACATGCCGCGATGCTTGCGCGCACCCCGGATTACCGGCATTCCATGCCGTCGAAGCACGCCGCCCATCATCGACTTTCTGTCGGCTCTATCGACCGCAAAGTCGGTATCGCTGAACGCGTCCAGTCGCGGCTCTGCGTCGTCGTCTCGGGTGGGCTCCATCGTGATTTATAGAGTCGCAGATCCATTAGAATAGCGCGCGATGTGCATCGCCAACCTCGAGTCAAGCACGAGCAGCGCTTGCTTCTGCCCCGTCTTCTTATGGACTGCGAAGGCGTTGTACGGGCGCGTACAGCGCGCGAACTAGAGGAGCGACCTGAACAGCTAATTAAAGTCGCGCAACCTCGGTCCTGGAGGCGCATCTGCTGAATCGAGGATCCTCGCGTCGCTTAGCTCATCGTCGCTGCCGTCTCTGATAGGCGTGCGAGTCACCTTCGCGTCTGCGACGCCGTTACTCCGCAGAATATCACCAATCGCCTCCTCCTGGTACAGGCGATGCCCTTTGTCGTCGTTCAGCTTCTCGCGCATCCCGAGGAACTTGCTCACTCGGCCTTGATGGATAGAGATTTGAGGTTTCGGAAGAAGAGATATACTTCAGCGGCGCTCGTCCCGGTGGCGAGGAGGTCATCGACGTACAGGCCTACAACGACTAGATTCGGCCCGTCGCGCTGAATATAGAGGCACATGTCGTTGTCGCAGCGTCGAAATCCCGCGGCTCGAGCTTGGTGTGAAGCAGCTGGCTCCAGATCCACCCGGCCTGCTTGATCCCATACAGGCTCTTGTGGAGATCAAGCACGAGACCCTCGCGCTTGCAGCGTCTAGATCAATAAGCTTCGCATTTAACACTCTCATGCCGAGCAGTAAATGAAGGTAGATCGTCAAGTGCGACTCCTTGTCCGCCTTGATGTAGTCGTGGGGGATGTCGCCATACTTGATAGATACCTCACCTGGCGGCAACAGCAAGGATGACCGTCCCGCTCGAGAGGTCCATCTCTACTGCAAACGTAAGCCCGTCGTCGACACTGAGCAATTGGTCTTTTCTGCAGACCACGAGACGCTTCTTGAGCCGCTTCAGCTTGCCGTAAGCAGTGGCCTTTGTATTTATTCATCCATTTTGTGTGCAGCGAGATGGACCTCGTCGCTCATCGCGTGATTGTTTAAACATCATCGTCCTTCAGGGCCTCAACCTCTTCTTTCATCGCAGTCACCCATACGTCTCGCCTGGTGCTGCGCATGGCCTCGGCGCAAATTTGCGGGTCACGCATAAATGCCGCACTCACGACGTCCGTACTGGCAGCTGGATCTTCCTGGATGACTTCTACTTGCGAGCGCTTTATCGCGCTGCGCGGGAGGTGCGCCTGTCGCGCCCACGTTTTATTCGCCCAGTTAGTTCTGCTCCTCGGCGTCGCTGACGCATCTGGCTCTGATGCCGTCTCTTCTGCAGCGTCGGCCCATTGCGCGTTGCAGATACGCGTACTGCGTCTCCGTTAGTGTGTCGATTCCCTTGACGTGCTGGGTGACGATCACCTTGCCTTCTTTACTTATCCAGACCTTGAAATCTTTGGTCTCGTCGCTGATGTTGACGATTGTATTAATCTGCGATCGCTGCTTAAGCGAGATCTTGCGCGGGTCGAGGTTGACGTAGCACTGCGACCCGTAGAAGACGATCTGCCGCAAGTGCGGTGCGGTGCCCGTCAGTATCTAGAGCGGCGATACGCGCTTCGGGCTCATGATTAGCGCATACACCGGGCAACCCCAGAAGTTGAGTAGCAGATTGCATGCAAACATCATGCTTCGCGCGAGATTGAGGATCATGCGGTGCATACGCTCCGGCTTCTTATTTGAGGCCTGTTTACTCTCCTCCGAGATCTACCGCACCGGTCCATTGCGCTTGCAGAAGAAGTCGACGTTTTAGTACTCGCCGCCGCCGTAGGTGTGGAGCACGTAGGTCCGACAGCCAAAATCGCTACTCAAAGTACGTCAGAAACGCCACGAACTGCTTTGCGACGGAGTTCTTCGTCCGCGCAATAAAGATCCTGCGGTATTTCCTATTATCGAAGCGGTCTTGTGGCGTCTTCGAACCTTATGGCTCCATTCATATCATTCCTCCGAAGCGGTCGATCAGCGCGTTTTCGCCGGTGTCTTGCTGCGGATGCGTCTTTTCGCGACTGCTTCCTCTCCGTTCAAGACACGAACGCCATGCTCCCGGGGATCGTGAGACTTAGTATGGACGTAGGGGCGTGCGCCATACGCTCGATACTTTCAAACGCCAAATGCGGGAACCCCTGGTGGAAACCTTTGCACGCCGGCTGCGATGTCCCTGCTACGCCAGACCGTTAGAATCTATTGCTGCCATGATGGCTTCGCCGTCTCCCTGATGTCGCTTCGTCGTCGTGGTCTGCACGTACAACGCGTTGCTCTTTATTTTCACATCAAAATCGACGGCGCCGTCACTGCTCCGGGCGAAGCGAGCGCTTGTATCCGTCCCAAACAAGCGCAAACTCTTTCCACTCGAGTTTTGCGTAAGACAAACTGTTCTTTGCCAGGCGCGGAGTCAGGTAGACGTCGTAGAGCGTCACGGTCTTCTCTACGCCGTTGCGATGACGTTAAGACGTAAGCTGCCGCATAGCGTCATCTATAGCGACCCGCCGTCCGATATGGCGATCTCTTTGTTACACGCTATCGTCTCGAAGTGCAATTGCGCGTCGCATTTGAGGTGGAGACTAGATCTACTGGCAAGAATTCAGCCTCCTTGGTCACTCTTGTTGGCGTCATCGATCGCGAACACGAAATCTTAATCTTCTTGCCGCGGCATCACTTCCTC